TCTTTATTTTTAGGTCGTTCGAATAAAACGTCTTTATTTCCAATATGATATTGATAGACTTAATACAATATCAACACAAGTCATTCATATTTTTGTGTAATGTATGTTAGAAAAAGCTTAATTGGGTGGTTGCCAGTCTTATGAGTCTAAATGTAAAGAAAACAAAAAATAAATTTTTTCTACTGGCACCATCAAGGAGCAGGCATCCTGTTTCAGCAGCACCATTTGTTTTTCTGAGTTTTTCTTACTTTATTTATTATGAGAGCTGTGCAGAAAGAAATTAGGAAGAAAATCAGGGATCTGAAGAACAGCTACAAGAAGAAGATTGAGGATCAGCTGCAGCAGCAAAACATCAGAAGGGATCTGGAAAAGCCTGAAGACAATCTCAGGCCAAAATCAGACCACCCAGGCTGTTGGAGACTTGAAGTGGGTTACTGAACTGAGGCTCCGTCCACACGAAGTCAAAACGAACACGAAACGCTGATATTTTCCAAAACGTTTGCCGTAAAGACGGAGACGTAAAATAAATGTGAGCGTCCACACGAATGCATGAAAACGCTGCAAAATGTATGCCAGGCCTGTAAGTGGCGCTGTGGTGCCAAAGCAAAAATAAGCGACGAAATGTTGGGCATGCGCACTAATATTTATACATGGTTGCCCTGCGGGTCATTTTTCGTGGTTAAGTCAAATTCAGGTGGTGAACTATGTCGTCGATATTGCTCTGTTCTTCCTGGAGATATTCCAGAAGAAGAAGATTCTGTTGTAAGCCCGACAGCAGGGTGAGTAGCATTAGCAGCAACGGGGCCATTGTTGTTGTGATGTGTCGCGCATGCGTGTTTAGAGGCGACGCTATGACGCATGCGTGTAAAAAAAAAATGCGGTTAGAGCGTAAAGATGGAAACGCGAAAACGGCGTTTCGAAATCTTCCCACTCTGAAGGCTGAATAAAAAAAAGATCGTTTACAGACCCCCGAAACGCTGGCTTCGTGTGGATGAGAGGCTGGTTTGGTGAAAAATTTGTGCGTTTAGGCCAGGGTTCGTCTTCGTGTGGACGGGGCCTGAACCAGTTTTTCAACAGGATTGATCAGCCACGCACTCCTTCTCCAGCCCAGAACCCCCTGCTGTTACCTTCACTTTTTTCAATGACAGACTACTTCACACCTTCCGGCTCCAAACCATCACCCAACACCCCTACTCAATAGAATTCCATCACACAGCCTACCATCCATTTTGTGGGTTTCAAGAAAACATGTGAGGAATGAGCTGCAAAAGATCAAGGTGTGAAAGGCCGTCGGTCCAGATGGTATCAGCTCCAGGTTTCTGAGATATTGTGCAGATGAACTGTGTGGCATCTCATGCTACATGTTCAACTTAAGCCTGAGGCTAGAAGAAGTACCACAGCTGTGGAAGACCTCTTGTGTGGCACCGGTGCCAAAGATAAAACATTCAACAGACCTTAGCAGCTGCAGGCCAGTAGAACTGTGTTCTACTAGGGCGACCGTGGCGTAGGATGTAGGAGTTTGCCCTGAAATCGAAGGATTGACGGTTTAAGCCCCGGCTCTGACTTTCAGTGTCGTTGTGTCCTTGGGCAAGACAATTCACCTGCATTGTCTACTGATGGTGGCCAGAGGGCAGTACGGCGACCCCGCTTCTGTCAATGAGCCCCAGGGCAGCTGTGGCTACAATGTAGCTTGCCACCATCAGTGTGTGCGTGAATGGGTGAATGAATGTAGTGTAAAGCGCTTTGGTCAAGTCTCCTGACTTGAATAAAGGCGCTATATAAGTACATGCCATTTACCAGTATGTAAGGGCACAGGGCTGTGTCTCAGAAAGGTTGGTTTGCAGTACGGGGGTCCCACAGGAAACAATGCTGGCAATGTTCCTCACCTTTTACACTGCACACTTCTACATCAATTCCCCACACTGCCACCTCCAGAAATTCTCTGATGATTCTGCCATAGTTGGCCTCATCACAGGTTGGGAAGACTTAGAATACAGAGAGTGGACCCAAAAATTTGAGGTCTGGTGCCAGCAGAACCACCTTCTCATTAAAGCAGGGAAAACCAAGGAGAAGTGGTGGAGTTTTACAGAAGCAGACCCACCCCACTGACACCGGTGACATCCAGGGAATGGACATTGAGATAGTGGACTCTTATAAGTACCTAGGTGTTCATCTGAATAACAAACTGAACTGGACTCACAACACAGAGGCTCTGTGTAAGAGCAGACTCTTCCTACTGAGGAGACTGAGGCCTTTTGGAGTGCAGGGGATGCTCCTAAAGACCTTCTATGACCCTGTTTTGGCACCAGCCATCTTCTATAGAGCTGTCTGCTGGAGCAATGGCTTGTTTGTAGCTGAGAGAAAAGCTGTATAGAGCCTGGCGTACACTGCGATTTTCAGGGCGATTTTCCAGTTGTGCAAGAATCTTTCAGCCTGATCATGCGTCAGGTAGTGTACAGGGGGTTATGAGCGGCGATCAGCCTACCACGACCACCTCCCGATCAGGAATCATTAGGTCGGGAGAAAATCAAACATGTTTGATTTTCTCCCGACCGTCGTGGGCAAATTGCTCAGGGCGCATGCGCAAAGGATTGTTCTTGGGATGCAATGAGTGAAATGCAGTTCTGTCTGTAAAATTGACAGACCGCAGTAGCCACGTCCGTTCAGCCATGTCTTTTTTCCAAATACATCATCGCCTTTTCTTTTGAGGGCTTTCAGCAAAAAATGACACATCTGGAAAACGCTGTTTTGCTGCTGGAGTCATCCTTACTCTCCATCTCTCTGTGTGTGCTGTACGTAACACCCGCCAGCGGAAACACCGACCTACCCAACTGACAGACTGTCATGTTGGGTTCAAGGCGTCTCACCCACATGCAGAAAACACTCTTGAAACAGGGAAAAAGTTTAAATGATTTATTTACAATGTTTATAAGTTAAATAGAGCTCAGGTTCTGGGTTCTTCTGACTGGTCACGGGAGGGAAGCCACTGAGGAGGACAGAGCAGTTAGAGTTGATCCAGGAAACTTGCAGTTTACAGATGATGGGAATAAATACCTGCTCAGAGAGGATTCTGATCAGCAGGGGGGGAACCTTGTGAGTCCAGAGGCTAGTCGGCAGGCAGAGGGCTGAGGGCAGAGGCAGAGACTGAGACGGAGTGCAGGCAGGCAGATTCCAGACAGAGATTTCTATCTCCAGGGTTTCAGGTTTCCAGAAAAGTCATGATCTGTGAGGCAGAGAGAAACAGGATCAGACAGGTTCACAAAATCAGGGTTTCAGATCAGGCAGGCTGGCTCAGGTCTTGCTATACCATTACTGGCAAACACTCTGGCAGGGAAGTGTCAGCCTCCTCCTCCTTAAATAGGTCTCCTGATGAGCAGACAGGAAACAGGTGTGTAGGAGTAAGCTCATGCCCTCAGGAGGAAGATCTCAGGCGCCCTCTGGTGGAGAAAGTGGACAAGCCTCCAGATCCCAACACAGACGAAATCTCACTATACATCAGCCATTCTTATCCTCCCCTCTTTCATTTTAAAATGAGGAGGATTTGTCCCCTTTGGTTGTGACAAAGGCTGTAGCGCCCCGGGGTCTTCTCACCGGTTCTTTTCCTGGGAGCAAGTTATTTACAGTTATTTATAAAAAAGGACTATAAAAACAGGAGTAAAAAATGACAGAGTTTATTCCAGATCAGGTCATTACAGGACAGAGAAAAATGCTCAGAGCTTGCACAGCTGTGGTCTCAAAAATCATGTCCGTGAGCGTCCAGCAAAGTTTGAGCCCCGAACAAGGTGCTTCTTATAGCTCATGGGTCTATGTGTTGCATCATGCTGATGTTGAGCTGGCCGTATCAGAAACTGACACGCCATCCATGTCTTGAACTTCATGCAACTTGCTTCTATGCTTCAGGGTTACAGATAGCTATCCTCTATCAGACCGGCTCCAAGATGTGCCCATATCCTGTGTATTCTTAAAGACACGAAGGCTGTCCTGATTAGATGACCTCCGTACACACCGTGACATCCACAATGTGAAGGAAGGCCCTCTACTCTGTCTAATCTGACTAACAAAGTAATAACGCACATGATGTATAAAGAATAAACCTAACACTCATGACAAGGCGCGCACGAGTCCTATCATGAAAAAAAGCAACGGGGTGTCGACAATGGTAACTGCATTATAGTGACACTCATAGTAATTAGTTAGATTACTCGTTACTAAAAAAGGTAACAGCGTTAGTAACTTTCAACACAGTTACTCCCATCACTGCTTAACCTGTGTTTCTCCCTCCAGAGTGTCAGTGATTTGGTGGTGCCACTCCTTCCCCCTGCAGATCCACAGCGCTGCACTTTAGTTCTGTTATGTTTTTGGTATTAAACGTTTTGAACTTTCCCACCATCTGTCTTACCTTGAATTCTGGGTTCATCTGTCTCAGTCATGACATGTACAGCTTTTAACAAGAGTCAATGGGTAAACATTCTTGCACCCTTGCATCACCAATCTGATGAAAAATTAAATGACACTTTACTCGTCATTAAAAAATATTTTTTTTATTTTCCATGTCTTAATCAGGGTCTTTGGGGATGTAGGGCGGTGCTCTAGCATCCTCTATTGGCCAGCCGCCACTGGTTACAGATAACCAAAACATTGTACTTAAATTTAGCACTACTTCATTTTTTTTAATAAGTAAAAGTAATTAGTAGTCGTTGAAGGAATCAGTCAAGTAAAAGCAAAAATTGAGTAAATGACATACTTACTACTTATGATCATAACATGTGATTTTATATTTAAAAAAAATTATACAGTTATACATCATAAGTTATATGCAAATTATATTATTTTAAAGAATTAGATACCAAAATAAAATAAAGCATGCAAATTTTACTAAATAAAAGCTTCACTTGGAAGAAATCAAAATATACTCAAATACCTATTATGAAATTAATACTTACAGCATGTATATAGGTTAGGTTGGGGTAAATTACTTCCGGTAACAAGATACAGCATATTGTTTGCTATATCTTTATTTGACCTTTATATGGCAGCATAATCAACACACAGCAAGTAATTTAACCAATAAGGCTTGAGTACCAAAAGGTAGTAAAAGTTAAAAGTACAATAAAGTAAAACTACTTATAAAGTTCCTTTTTCCCCCCAAAAAAGTTATTAATGTAGATGTATCTGAATAAATGTAACTAATTACTACCAACCTCTGCAGATGTCACAAAGTCTGTCTGGATTTTACAGAATGGCTTTCATAAAATCAGAGAGAGTGCAAAGAATTGATGGATATGATTATTTATTGAATGGCTGATGGTGATGAGACTGATGATATCTATGAGGAAGATGGGGATGATGCTTTGATCTGCTCCAAAGGAAGCTCCTCCTCAGCTGTTCAGAGAGTAAAGATAATATGTTAGATGACAAAATAGAATAAAATCAAACAAATAAAGCAAACTTTTCTGTTAATCTGAGGCCTTAAGTAACAAAGTACAAATACTTACCTTCCTTAAGTAGAATATTTGTCTATCTATACTTTATTGGAGTAATTATTTATTTTTTACTTCTCTACTTTCTAATCCTTACATTTTAAAAATATACTTGTTAGTTTTGTTTCATTTAAGGTCATTTTCGTTATAGCCTGTTTGAATAAAAAACATTAAAAAAATTTGTTTTATTCAGAAATGTATTTCTTTGTGGTTGGTACTGCCCCAACTTGTTGCTAAAATTGAGCCTGTTACCATTAGTTGCAAAACTAAGAAAATTATGTCTAAGGGAATTATCCAGAATTGTAGAAAAATTTTCCTGCAGTAAAGCATCTGTCCTACATTACTTTTACTTTTATACTTATAATAGCTTTAAAAATGGTACTTTTACTTGAGTAAAAAGCATTAGTTTATACTCTAACTTTTACAAAAGTGTTTTTAAAAAGTTGTATTTATACTTCTACTTGAGTAATAAACATGAATACCTTTGACGCCTCTGCTGTTAAGAAGCATTTATTTCACACTTCACAGGAAGCCACTCATTTACCCATCAACAACAGTTTAAGCTGTTTTAAAATTCTACATAATCTATACTTTTTCTACTTGAAAATTATAAATTGCCTTAAATATGGAGCATGAAAAGCCTTCAAAATGTTCATGTGCTTTTTCTTGAGTGTACAAGGTTACAACATTTAACAGCTGTTTAGTACATTGAAACATCATACCCTTAAGTCGAATATTGCTTGTTCGTTCAGTTCTGACACACCTCACAATGGCAGTGATGATCAATACAAGAATAAAACCTAGAAAAATAAAATCACAAAATAACAGAATTAATGTTCAGACACATCTGTGCACATTATATGTAGGTTTGTTCATGTCAATGTCCCTTGCGATGTATTTGAAAATAAAATCTATAGCAATTTAAAGACATACCCAATTTGCAGCCATTATAAACTGAGATCTTCATTCCTGACACGCCTACAGGAAAAGGGATACGAAAAAACACATGAAAAGAGAAATGGGTGTGAGTTCTCAACACATGGAAAGTGATGCAGCCTCTCCTTGTTAATTTTATAAGGAACTTCATCCTTGCTCCTTTTTATTTTATGGGCTGCTTAAATCCCTCCAATCCTATCACCAATTAAATTCCTCAGAGACAAGTGACCATAAAGCATGATTTTTTATGTAACCATTGGTGTGGAGCCATGTCTGTTGGGTTTAACATTAGCAATGATGTCACCTGTTGCTGTTGTTTGTCGCTGCCTGAGTGTCCACCTCCATTATGATGACCACAATTAAACAAATCCCAAAGTCCAGTTTGATTCACAATGGTGATTGGGCCTTTTCAGGTCTAGAATATTCCTAAATTGTAAAACCAGCTTCATCTTTATATTAGGCAGGCTTCCACTTAGTGTTTTTCAGTTCCTTCTTAAAACACATTTGTACCCACTGGCTTTAAAACAAAGTTTCATCTCTTGGTATTTCTGTGTTCACATTTCTGTTTTATATTGTGTCATTATGTTCTGCAATGTTGGAATTTCTCTTCTTTTGTTGTGCAGTACTTTGTCCAGTGCTGTTGTTCTAAATGTTCTATATAAACAAATGTGATCTGAGTCATTTTATCTTAGGTAGGAGTTATTAGCTGGAGTATATTGTGCAACAGTAGCTTTAAGCCATGATCACAACCTCAGACTGACCTGAACATTTATGGGTGACAGCCTCACTGGTTTCAGAACTGGCATGGTTGAAAATTTTGCAAGCAAATTTGTCTGCTTTGGTTTCAGCAGCATTCATTCCAAGAGTAGAATCTTGTTCCTTCTCCAACTTGTTACCATTCTGAAGCCATTCGTATTCCAAATCGCTAGATTTCTGTGAGAAAACAAAGTGATCAGAACAGGTTATTCCGCAGACCACAACAATAACGCATAAAAACATACATACATTTTTGAAAACCTTAAATTTGTACTATATATTAGCTTTTATTTTAACAGGGTGGCCTTACAGGAGGAATAGATGTAAAGGGTATTTTGAAATAAAAAAATCTCATTAGAGTGAGTTTTGTCCTCTGTTTTAACACATCATTGCTCAGCGACCTGGAGTGTCAGTCTGTATATTGAACTGGCAACCTCGCTGCCTTCCCACTAATTAAACCCCCTGCTCTCAAACAGTTAGGCCACCACTTTCCATGACAAGACAGAAAATTTAATACACTGGTGAAGATTCTCAGTCATCCAGGTCATAGTCATTCGGTGAAAGACATTTTGAATTGAGGAAGCTTCCTGGAGGGGAAGTGAAATGTCTTCAAACCTTGGAAACAAAGTCCAGTGGATTGTTTTTTAAACTTTTACGGAAAATATATTATACAATATAGACATCAGTAGCTATGTTTACATGGATGTAAGTAATCAGAATAGATAGCTGACTGGACTTAAAATAAGTTAATTTGTTATCTGACTGATAGTGGTGGTTTATGTAGATACAGACAGCCTTAAGTTATTCTGAACTAAGTGAGCATGTGGTTAATGTTGGTATTTCCGCCTTGTGTGGCTAATTGCTCTGGCTAGCTGACATCAGAGTATTCTGTTCTACAGGTTTAGGAGACATTGTTTTAGTCTGATCAGCAATTTTATTGTGATTACAATACCATTTATTGCTTAAAAAACAATTCAATCAGATCACTATTATTTGGAATCAGAATACATTTCAATCTGTTGAAGTACGTAAGTAAACTTAGCTAATGTTTTAAGTGTTGAATCTTTAGTAAAAAAGTTGCAAAATGAGGTTCTTACCTTATCAGACAGGCATGTAAAAATCACTTTTATATCCTTACATGTTATATGTATTGTAGGTTTGTTCACAGGATCTAGGATTGATTAGAATAAAGACACAACAAGTAATCAGGAAGATTAAAAATGCTGCTGATCCGCGTTTCTTATACATGAACTTCATCTCAGAATTTTATAACCTGACCTGAAATAATTTGAATATTTTCAGCAAATAAATAAATAAAAGGATCAACTAAAAGCTTTCAAATATGAATTGGGAGGTTTAGTGTGTTCTAGAGTGAGACATTTCCAACTAAAAGACATTTTATACTTACCCAGTATATATAAATGTGTTTTCTTTGTGGCCTGTTTTCTTCCAGTTTGATCAAAAACCTGTGGAGTGTAAACTCCTGCCTGGTTCTTCTTTAGGTCAGTCAGTTGGAGGGATCCATTTGCATTGATATCATCTTTTTTCCCAATAATTACTATTCCGGATTTTTTATAAAACACTACTGTTTCTTTAAACTTCCACTTCAGGGTGTCGGTAGACTTCAGTTCATATCCCAAAGGAACACTGAAGTTCTGGCCCATTGCAGCAAACTGGTCACAAACTTTGGATCAGAAAGAAAAAGCATTACGAATAAGAGCAGGATCCATAGAAGATGAAGACTTTATAGAAGGCAGACATCAATCCTTTTTAGTGTACCAATATATTATATATTATGATATATTGTAATTAAGACTTAAGAAAAGAAAATGTGGTCAATAATGTCAACAAAACTTCCCCTTAGAAGTAAAATAAAATACATTCTGACCAGATGATACGTATGGAAGAATGTGGAAACAATATATGTATATATAAAACATGCTGGGGCATGAAACAATTTAGAGAAAAACTAATACATTACTTACAGGATAAATACATTGTTTTTATTCTTCTGTAAAGTTCTCAGCGACAAGACTTCTGATCATTCCAACTAAACCTGTTAACTTTTCATCCTTGCTGCCTTATAATTTATGGACTTCTTAAATCCTTCCAATTCCAATTCCATTGCTAATTAAATTCCTCAGAGACAAGTGACCAAAAAGCATGAAATGTAACCATCGGTGTGGAGCCATGTCTGTTGGGTTTAACATTAGCAATGATGTTATCCGTTGCTGTTGTTTGTCGCTGCCTGAGTGTCCACCTCTATTATGATGACCACAATTAGAAGAATGCAAACATTTAGTTTGAACAGGACAACGTTTACTGGCTTAGTGTTTGTTTTAGAAATGAGTTCAAAGTTGTCTTTTTTACATATAAAGCTTAGAGGCAAATATACACGCAAACTACTTCTATATTTGTCTGATCTCCTGCAGCTTTAGGTGCTCTCTTGATAGCTAATCTGTGATTGGTTGTCCCAAAGCCCAGGTTGATCCTTAAAGGGTATTGGGCCTTTTTAAATCATCCTCTTTATATTAGGTTTCATCTTGATGTTTTGAAGCCACTTCTTAAAACATATTTGCATCCACTGGCTTTTAAAACAGTGTGCAAGTTTTATATTTATGGGTTTTTATGTTTAATTTCTGTTTTAAAATCTGTCTCTATATTCTCTTATGTTCAAATCACTTTTACTTCTTTTGTTTTTTTAGCCTGTGTAGTTGTTCTTAGTTATGCTACAGTAGCAGCCAATCAAAATGGCCCTTCCCAGTCAAACGCTAGCCAAATGGGAGCCCAATTCCCTGCAACTCCCAGCAAAATCCCCTCCAGCTTCCAGCCACTGGGATTCTCCTGGGTAGACATGTTTTTTTGTATTCTGACTCCATCCTTTCACAGGAAATAACGCTTTTCTTTAGATCTTAATGTCCACAAATCTTAAAAAAAGAATATTTTAGTACAAAGATTGATGTTTAAAAAGGAATTGTAGGGGACCAGCCAAGGGCCCATTAATGAAAGTGAGGAAATTTTAAATGGCTACTGCTATATACACCACTCAAAAAAAAAAATAAAGGAACACTTTATAATCAGAGTATAGCATCAAGTTAATTAAACTTCTGGGATATTGATTAGGCCAGGTATGTAGCAGAGAGGGCTGTCAATCAGTTTCAGCTGCTTTGGTGTTAATGAAATTAACAACAGGTGCACTAGAGGGGCAACGAGACGACCATCAAAACAGGAATGGTTTTACAGATGGAGGCCACTGACATTTTTCCCCTTTTCCTTTTACATTTGGCTAGAGTCACTGTCACTACTGTTAGAGGCGCTACCTGGAGTCTACAGAGGTTGCACAGGCAGTCCAACTCCTCCAGGATGGCACATCAATACGTGTCATTTATAGAAAGTTTGCTGTGTCATATCGCACAATCTCAAGAGCATGGAGGACATTCCAGGAGACAGGCAGTTACTCCAGGAGAGCTGGACAGGGCCGTAGAAGGTCTACAACCCATAAGCAGGACCGGTATCTACTCCTATGTGCAAGGAGGAGCAGGAGGAGCACTGCCAGTGCCCTACAAAATTACCTCCAGCAGGCCACTGGTGTAAATGTCTCTGACCGAACAATCAGAAACAGACTTCACGAGGGTGGCCTGAGGGCCCAACGTCCTCTAGTGGGCCCTGTGCTCGCTGCCCAGCACCTTAGAGCTCGATCAGCATTTGCCACAGAACACCGCATTGACAAGTTCGCCACTGGCACCCTGTGCTTTTCATAGATGAGAGCAGGTTCACCCTAAGCACATTTGACAGATATGAAAGGGTCTGGAGAAGCCGTGGCGAATGTTATGCTGCCTGTAACATCGTTCAGCATGACCGGTTTGGTGGTGGGTCAGTGATGGTCTGGTGAGGCATATCCATGGAGAGACGCACAGATCTATACAGGCTAGACAATGGTACCCTGACCGCCATTAGGTATTGGGATGAAATCCCTGCACCCGCTTTCACACCCTATGCTAGTACAGTGGGTCCTGGATTCCTCCTAGTGCCAGACAAAGCCCAGGCCTCATGTGGCGAGAGTATGCAGGCAGTTCCTGGAGGATTAAGGAATTGATACCATTGATTGGCCCCCACGCTCGCCTGAACTAAATCCAATAGAACACCTCTGGGACATTATGTTTCAATCCATCCAACGCTGCGAGGTTGCACCTCAGACTGTCCAGGAGCTCAGTGATGCCCTGGTCCAGTACTTGGAGGAGATACCCCAGGATGCCATCCGTCGTCTCATTAGGAGCATGTCCCGACATTGTCAGGCATGCATACACGCATGTGGGGGCCATACAAATTACTGAATACCATTTTGAGTTGCAATGAAATGTCAGTAAAATGGAATAGCCTGCCACATCATTTTTTCACTGTAATTTTTGGGGTGTCTTGGAATTCAGCACTCTTTAGGTTGATAATTTTCATTTCCATCAAATGATGTGGCATCCTTTTGTTCCTAACACATCACCCAGTCCATATCAGTATAAATAAACACCATGATTTTTTTCCCTATTGAGATCTGATGTGTTTTCAAGTGTTACTTTAATTTTTTTAGCAGTGTATTAATACATTTTATTTTAATTTGATTCATTTTATCTTAGGTAACAGTTGTTAGCTCGAACACATTGTGCAACAGTCGCTTTAAGCCATAATAAATGGTAAATGGTGACTACCACCGCATACTGACTTGAACATGTATGAATGACATATTCGCTGGTTTCAGAACTGGCTTTGTTGAAAACTTTGCAGGCAAATCTGTCCGCTTCAGTTTCTGTAGCATACACTTCAAGAGACAAGCCTTTCTCTTTTTTCATCGTGTCACCGTTCAGTAGCCATTCATATTCTGCAGTGTTAGGTTGCTAAAAGAAACAAAAAAAAGAAAACATTTCAGGGCTGTTCAGTGTAAAAAAAATGCTAAAGACAGCGATAGGTATGAAACAAATTTGTAAGACCTCAGTTTTGGCTCATATCTTTATGGCTTTTACTTTGATAAGGTTGTATGACAGGAGAAATGAATGTGAACAAAAATTCTAAAAAAATGTCCCCCTTTATTTGTCATTGTAAATTTAAATTACAATTTTTCAATCTCAGCATTCATCTCATCCCCCCAGGAGGAGTGAGCTGCTTGCAGCACCAGGAGATCAACCTGGAGCTCAGGGACTCAAAGTGGTTATTAAGGTTTTTCAAAGCAGCGACCTTACAGAATGCAAAAGCTCGGCTCTATTATCACCAGCCCATCACTCCCGATGACATGCCAAAAAAATACATGTCATACAAATATTGATAAATATTCAGATTCTCTAATTTAAAAATAATGAATTATAAATATTTAATAAATCAGATTCTTACCTTATTAGAAACACATGTAAAGACCACTGTTTTATCCTTACATGTTGCATTTACTTTAGGCTTCTTCACAGGATCTGAGATGGTTGATTAAAGACACAAGAAATTATATGGAAATGTAAAAATGCTGCTGATGCATGTTTAGGATTTTATGATGCATTAACACACTGACCTATAGTTCTATAACCTGACCTGAAATTAGCCTCTATTTGGATATTTTCAAAAAACCAATCAATAATAAAAAGATCAACTAAAAGCTTTCAAATATGAATTGGGAGGTTTAGTGTGTTCTAGAGTGAGACATTTCCAACTAAAAGACATTTTATACTTACCCAGTATATATAAATGTGTTTTCTTTGTGGCCTGTTTTCTTCCAGTTTGATCAAAAACCTGTGGAGTGTAAACTCCTGTCTGGTCCTTCTTTAGATTAGTCAGTTGGAGCGATCCATTTGCATTGATATCATCTTCTTTCCCAATAATTAATATTCCGGATTTTTTATAAAACACTACTGTTTCTTTAAACTTCCACTTCAGGGTGTCGGTAGACTTCAGCTCATATCCCAAAGGAACACTGAAGTTCTGGCCCATTGCAGCAAACTGGTCACAAACTTTGGATCAGAAAGAAAAAGCATTACGAATAAGAGCAGGATTCTTAGAAGATGAAGACTTTACAGAAGGCAGACATCAATCCTTTTTAGTGTACCAATATATTATATATTATAATATATTGTAATTAGGACTTAAGAAAAACAAATGTGGTCAATAATGTCAACAAAACTTCCCCTTAGAAGTAAAATAAAATACATTCTGACCAGATGATACGTATGAAAGAATGTGGAAACAATATATGTATATATAACACATGCTGCGGCATGAGATGTAGAGGATAAAAAATTAATAATTCAGTTTGTAACCAATTTAGAGAAAAACTAATACATCACTTACAGGATAAATAAGTTGTTTTTATTCTTCTGTAAAGTTCTCAGCGACAAGACTTCTGATCATTCCAACTAAACCTGTTAACTTTTCATCCTTGCTGCCTTATAATTCATGGACTTCTTAAATCCTTACATTTCCAATTCCATTGCTAATTAAATTCCTCAGAGACAAGTGACCAAAAAGCATGAAATGTAACCATCGGTGTGGAGCCATGTCTGTTGGGTTTAACATTAGCAATGATGTTATCCGTTGCTGTTGTTTGTCGCTGCCTGAGTGTCCACCTCTATTATGATGACCACAATTAGAAGAATGCAAACATTTAGTTTGAACAGGACAACGTTTACTGGCTTAGTGTTTGTTTTAGAAATGAGTTCAAAGTTGTCTTTTTTACATATAAAGCTTAGAGGCAAATATACACGCAAACTACTTCTATATTTGTCTGATCTCCTGCAGCTTTAGGTGCTCTCTTGATAGCTAATCTGTGATTGGTTGCCTCAAAGTCCAGGTTGATCCTTAAAGGGTATTGGGCCTTTTTAAATCATCCCCTTTATATTAGACAGGTTTCATTTTGATGTTTTGAAGCCACTTCTTAAAACATATTTGCATCCACTGGCTTTTAAAACAGTGTGCAAGTTTTATATTTATGGGTTTTTATGTTTAATTTCTGTTTTAAAATCTGTCTCTATATTCTCTTATGTTCAAATCACTTTTACTTCTTTTGTTTTTTTAGCCTGTGTAGTTGTTCTTAGTTATGCTACAGTAGCAGCCAATCAAAATGGCCCTTCCCAGTCAAACGCGAGCCGAATGGGAGCCCAATTCCCTGCAACTCCCAGCAAAATCCCCTCCAGCTTCCAGCCACTGGGATTCTCCTGGGTGGACATATTTTTTTTATTCTGACTCCATCCTTTCAAAGGAAATAACGCTTTTCTTTAGATCTTAATGTCCACAAATCTTAAAAAAAGAATATTTTAGGACAAAGATTGATGTTTAAAAAAGAATTGTAGGGGACCAGCCAAGGGGCCATTAATGAAAGTGAGGACATTTTGAAATTGCTACTGCTATATACACTACTCAAAAAAATTAAAGGAACACTTTATAATCAGAGTATAGCATCAAGTTAATTATACTTCTGGGATATTGATTAGGCCAGGTAAGTAGCAGAGGGGGTTGTTAATCAGTTTTAGCTGCTTTGGTGTTAATGAAATTAACAACAGGTGCACTAGAGGGGCAACGAGACGACCATCAAAACAGGAATGGTTTTACAGATGGAGGCCACTGACATTTTTTCCCCTCCTCATCTTTTCTAACTCTATTTCACCAGTTTTGCATTTGGCTAGGGTCACTGTCACTACTGTTAGCATGAGGCGCTAGCTGGAGCCTACAGAGGTTGCACAGGCAGTCCAACTCCTCCTGGATGGCACATCAATACGTGCCATTGCCAGAAGTTTTGCTGTGTCTTCAAGCACAATCTCAAGAGCATGGAGAAGATAACAGCAGACAGGCAGTTACTCCAGGAGAGCTGGACAGGGCCGTAGAAGGTCTACAACCCATAAGCAGGACCAGTATCTGCTCCTTTGTGCAAGGAGGAGCACTGCCAGAGCCCTACAAAATGACCTCCAACAGGCCACTGGTGTGAATGTCTCTGTCCAAACAATCAGAAACAGACTTCACTGGGTGGCTTGAGGGCCCGGCGTCCTGTAGTGGGCCCTGTGCTCACGCCCAGCACCTTAGAGCTCGATTGGCATTTGCCACAGAACACCGGATTGACAAGTTCGCCACTGGCACCCTGTGCTTTTCATAGATGAGAGCAGGTTCTCCCTGAGCACATTTGACAGATGTGAAAGGGTCTGGAGAAGCCATGGAGAACGTTATGCTGCCTTTAACATCGTTCAGTATGACTGGTTTGGTGGTGGTTCAGATGGTCTGGGGAGGCATATCCATGGAGGGACGCACAGATCTATACAGGCTAGACAATAGTACCCTCACTGCCATTAGGTATTGAGATGAAATCCTTGCACCTGTTGTCACACCATATGCTAGTACAGTGGGTCCTGGATTCCTCCTAGTGCAAGACAATGCCCAGTCCTCATGTGGCGAGAGTATGCAGGCAGTTCCTGGAGGATTAAGGAATTGATACCATTGATTGGCCCCCACGCTCGCCGGACACCTCTGGGACATTATGTTTCAATCTTACCGACGCCGCGAGGTTGCACCTCAGACTGTCCAGGAGCTCAGTGATGCCCTGGTCCATTACTGGGAGGAGATACCCCAGGACGCCATCCGTCGTATCATTAGGAGCATGCCCCGACATTGTCAGGCATGCATACACGCATGTGGGGGCCATACAAATTACTGAATACTATTTTGAGTTGCAATGAAATGTCAGCAAAATGGACTAGACTGTCGCATCATTTTTTCACTGTAGTTTTTGGGGTGTCTTTGAATTCAGCCCGCTGTAGGTTGATTATTTTCATTTCCATCAAATGATGTGGCATCAGTCCATATGAGTATAAATAAACACCATGATTTTTTCCTTCATTGAGATCTGATGTGTTTTCAACTGTTCCTTTAATTTTTTTTAGCAGTGTATTAATAAATTTGATTTTAGTTTGATTTATTTTATCGTAGGTAACAGTTGTTAGCTCAAACACATTGTGCAACAGTCGCTTTAAGCCATAATAAATGGTAAATGGTGACTACCACCGCATACTGACTTGAACATGTATGAATGACATATTCGCTGGTTTCAGAACTTGCTTTGTTGAAAACTTTGCAGGCAAATCTGTCCGCTTCAGTTTCTGTAGCATACACTTCAAGAGACAAGCCTTTCTCTTTTTTCATCGTGGCACCGTTCAGTAGCCATTCATATTCTGCAGTGTTAGGTTGCTAAAAGAAACAAAAAAAGAAAACATTTCAGGGCTGTTCAGTGTAAAAAAAAAAATCGACAGGAGGAATGAATGTGAACAAAAATTCAAACTAAAAAAATAAAAAATCCCCCTTTATTTTGTAAATGTAAATTACAATTTTTTAATCTCAGCATTCATCTCATCCCTCCAGGAGGAGTGAGCTGCTTGCAGCACCAGGAGATCAACCTGGAGCTCAGGGACTCAAAGTGGTTATTAAGGTTTTTCAAAGCAGCGACCTTACAGAATGCAAAAGCTCGGCTCTATTATCACCAGCCCATCACTCCCGATGACATGCCAAAAAAATATATGTCATACAAATATTGATAAATATTCAGATTCTCTAATTTAAAAATAATTAATAATAAATATTTAATAAATCAGATTCTTACCTTATTAGAAACACATGTAAAGACCACTGTTTTATCCTTACATGTTGCATTTACTTTAGGCTTCTTCACAGGATCTGAGATGGTTTATTAAAGACACAAGAAATTATGTAGAAATGTAAAAATTAGCCTCTATTTGGATATTTTCAGCAAATAATTAAATAAAAGGTAAGTAAAAGCTTTAAAATATGAATTGGGAGGTTTAGTGAGTTCTAGAGTGAGTTATGTCCAACTAAAATACATTCTATACTTACCCAGTATATATAAAATTGTTTCCTCTGTGGCCTGATTTCTTCCAGTTTGATCAAAAACCTGTGGAGTGTAAACTCCTGCCTGGTCCGTCTTTAGATTAGTCAGTTGGAGGGATCCATTTGCATTGATATCATCTTCTTTCCCAATAGTTACTATTCCGGATTTTTTATGGAACACTAATTTTCCTTTAAACTTCCACTTCAGGTTATCGGTAGACTTCAGCTCATATCCCAAAGGAACGCTGAAGTTCTGGCCTGTTGCAGCAAACTGGTCACAAACTTTGGATCAGAAAGAAAAAGCATTACGAATAAGAGCAGGATCCATAGAAGATGAAGACTTTATAGAAGGCAGATATCAATCAGCTCTAGTTTAATATAAGTAATGTAATCAGGACTAATAATGTTAACAAACTGAGAAGTAAAATAAAATGCATTCTGACCAGATGATATGTAAGAAAGTACATCTGTATCCAATTCTATATATATATATATATATATATATATATATATATATATATATATATATATATATATATATATATATATATATATATATATATATATATATATATATATATATATATAACAAATCTATGCAGCTTAATACACACCTTTAGATAGAACAAACAAAAGACAGTAGCAGTAAGTAACGTTTAATACTGATTAACAGAAGTTTGGTACCTTCGGAGATGACAGCAGAGCAGCAGAGGAACAACAAAACAGCTCCAGGGACAGATGCCATCTCCATCATATTCTTCTCAATTAAAACTTTATCGAACAAAAAATAAAAATGTCAGAGCCGTCTCTTTACTTCCGCTCAGTGGGTAAGTATAGTCCCAGCTTATGAGAAAACCCGGTAATATTTTAGTTTTTCACCACTTCCTCTTGCAAATGTTTCAGCCTGTTAGAGGTTTGGTTCTGCTATGTTTTTTCTTTAGGATGTTCAGTTTTGCTTTGCTCCTTGTTTTCTAGGTTTTTATGGTTTAAGTCTTATTTTGTTGTGTTCTTTGTTTTTTTGTCATTTTACTGTCTCAGTCTTGGTTATGGTATGTTTTCTTTTGAGTATCCACTTTTGCTTTGCTCCTTGTTTTCTAGTTTTAGTGGTTTAATCCTTAGTTATTATGTGTTTTGTTTTGTTTTTCTCAATTACTGTCTTAGTCTAGGATTCTGTTATATTTTCTTTTGAGTGTTCAGTTTTGCTTTACTCCTTGTGTAATAGTCTTAGTGGTTTAATTCTTATTTTGTTGTGTTTTCTGGTTATTTTCAGTTTTCTAGGTTTTTTATGTGTTGCCCTCTGCTGCCCTCTTGTGTTCTCCTTTTTCTCTAGCTCTTTTCCTCTCCTGCTCTGTGCACACCTGCTCCCAGTCTGCTCATTAGCCCTCTCTTTGTTTCAGTCCCCTATAAATACGCTCTCTGTTCTGTTCTTCTTTGCTGGGTCCTTGTCTAACTTCCTCCAACTCTGTCTCCCTGAGCCTACCTCCTCCTGATAGTTCCCCCCCGATGTCTCCATGTTTCTGGTTTGACTTTGTTTTCATGTTTCGATTGTTGGATTTTTGGACTACTGGTTTCCTGTTAGTTTGGACTTTGTTTTTCATATTGGGATTGTGGATAACCTGCCTCAGCATTTACCTCTGCCTCCCTGCCTCTGCTTTTGGGTCAACAAACCATAACCAAATCGTGACACAGCCACTACAAGGATTATCCTCAAAACAAAGCTATCCTTCCTAACAACCATGGAATGACAAAGTAATAAAGCTTTGAACCAACAATGTGCATTAAGGATGTAAAATAAATGTTTAAAGAGTAGGGATGGGGATCGAAACCCGGTTCTATCAAGGACCCGGTTCCACTTTTTTCAAAACCCGAAAATCAATAACGTTTGGGCTTATCGATACCACTATCTAGTCTTGTCGTTTTTTTTTTTTCTCCCAGAGGTCCTGTAACTCCTTCGAGTCGCATCACAGTATTTAAATCTAATCAATCCCAATCACTGCAGCATGTCCACCAATGTTTTGGAATGAAATTGTAAGCAAACAGATATTAAAAGTAAAACAAGTGAAGTCTGGCACTTAACTTTGCTCGCGACTCGAGAATGGCTGAACGGAAAAGACTCCTCCTCCTCCTCCTCCTCCTCCTCCTGCCGCCGCACAACAGTCGGGCCCGTCTTCATCATCCACTCAGAGTACCACTGGTAAGCGCGCACACAGACTTTGTAGCTTGTCCGGTCAGTTAAAAATAGTAATTGTGAAATCCGTGTTGTAACTGGCAGCATACATGTGATGTGTTCAGATTGGCTCAGTAAAACGACAATTAGGTTATCATGATGCGTTCAAGTGTAACATAAAGAAAAGGGAAATTGATTTTTTGGCGAGAAACATGAGTAATACAGTTGTATATTGCTCTAATTATTTTAGAATATATAATTAAACTACTGATGCCAACATTTATTAAAAATTACATTTAATTTAAAACACAATTATTTATTTGCTAAATATTTTCCTAATCACTAAAAACATGATGAAAAGTGACAGTAGACAATACATTAACCAACAATTGTGAAAATATATTCTAGTTAGTTTTATGTCATTTTGAAGTGGCCTATTACATTAGCCATGTTTATTGAAGGCTAGAAACGTTTTTGTTATGCTCACTTGTTAAGCAATAAAAGCAATTCCAGTTCTGTTAAAAACATATTGTCGCATCGTCTTTCCACCAAATAACAGAAAAGTATCGATAGTGGTATCGATAAAGACTCGGATCGATAAGGAGTATCGATAAAGGTATCGATATCAATAAATATTAACGATCCCCATCCCTATTAAAGAGTCAGAATTCACTTTAAAGAAAATTTGTGATTCCTTACACAAAAAACGTGCCATTTAGTAAAAATTCTTTAAAACATAACTATAGTTGTCCAGGACTATTTATACGAATGTGAAAAACTGTGTGAGAAATAGCAGTGATGTAAAGAATGTATTGGGATTTGTCAGGAGCAGTGAATGTTACAGGAAGGAGGGATGTGTGAAAAATATCAGAGCGGTCACTGGTCAGCAGAGTTGGTGAAAACGCTGCTGCGTTAATTTTTTTGCTGAGTTCCAGCTGTCTACACAATCTGCAGAATTCACAACTCGTTTTAATAAGATACACAGTGATTTGTTGAAACTAGTCCATGCATTTTTACTTTACTTAAAAAACCTTCAGCTGATACAAAATGCTGCAGCCGAAGTTCTGATGAAATTTAAAGGGGAAAATCATATGTCTTCTATCCTAACTTCCTTCTGTTAGATCCAGAATAACATTTTAAATCCTCCTTCTCACTTATAAAGCCTTAAATGGCCAAGCTCCATCTTATATCAGAGGTTTGATCATTCTTTATGTTCCTATCAGAGCACTTCGCTCTCAATCTGCAGGTTTATTAGTGGCTCCTAAAATTGCTGAAATTAGAAAGGGAGGAGTAACTTTAAGTTATCAGGCTCCTCTCCTGTGGAAACAGCTACCAGTTTTAGTCCATGAAAAAACTTATACTTGGAAACAGAGTAATGTTTTCCCAGTCGATGGGTGAGTAGAGAAGTAGGAAAACGTAGAGTGAAAAGCACGATCCGACGGGGGAGAATTCAGTCCAGACAGACGTTCCTCCTTGGCTTTACAATTCTCATAGCACATCCAAAACAGTTAGGTTATCCTAAGCTATTGTCTATATTTAAGATGCTATACGTTTATGGTGCTGGAGGACATATGGACCACTTTTCATCATTGTGTTTTATTCTGTCTCTAATTTCTCATTCTACAGTGTTTGTTCATACACTATAGATAGTGTATCAGTCTGGTAAAGAGCTGGAACAGCTGCTGATTTCATAGGTATGACTAGAAGTGTCAGTGTCATCAGGTTAGATCTGATCAGATAATTAAGGATGTGACCCAAAAACTACAAGTGACACGCTCTGTTTTTGTAATTTAGTAGTCTGTGAAATACATTAAGCCAAAAAGTAGCAAATACGTCTGTTTTAAAAGAAAAATTACACTGAAGATGTCCATTGTAAAGATTATAATGTTGGCTAAGTCTCACTTCAGACATCTGAAAGGACATGATTACAATATTCCTCTGTTGCATCGCCATCTTGCTGCTATGCTAGCAGAAAGGCACTGAGAGTGAGGCATGTTTAAGTCCTGCCTCTCATGCTCTGATTGGTTTGCCACATTTGGCTGGAGTTAACTGTGGTTTAGCAGACTGAATTGTGCTCCATGTAATTCTTTCTGGATGGGCATGCTAGTTCTCTCCGCTTTTTTTTTTGTCATAATAGCTTCATCTGGTCTGTTCTAAGTTTAATCCTGTATTGAAATATCAGACATGTGCTCTCTTTCATCCTTTAATGTGGGTGCTGGCTTTGAGTTCGTCTCTCTGGCTGTGTCTCTCTTGGACAGTTACCAGTTACCTTTTGTATATCTGCTTCTTCTTCTGTCTCCTTGAACCCCAGTCGGTCTCGGCAGATGGCTGCTCACACTGAGCCTGGTTATGCTGGAGGTTTCTTCCTGTTAAAAGGGACATTTTCCTCTCCCCTGTCGCCTGCATGCATGCTTGCTGTGAGGGAATGTTGAAGAGTCAACGACAAAATGCAAGTGAATATCATTGCCACAGCCCCATTTTCACTTAGTCTGACATAGTGAAAAAATTGGAAAGTAAGCTTTTATCAGTGATGCAAACAATAAATTTTAAACAGAGCGTGCATGAGGAGAAATGGGCTTGTGCATTCTCTTGCACAAGTTTAATAGGCATTCCGTTTTGCGACCGGGTACAGGGTTGTGCATGAGCTTTTTATTTATTTATTTTTTTTAGTGGAGAGGGCACGTCAAAAAAGTGCAAATCCTCCTCTATACCTTTAACTGTTTCCCTTGTATTACCTTTAATCATTAGGGTGGGGTTTATGGTTCCAAAATTTTAGTTCAAACTACAAAGGTGCTGTGGAGAGAATGAGCAGCACTAAATTCCTGGGGGTGCACATCAGCGACGACCTCCCCTGGATCACCATTACAGCATCACTGGTGAAGAAAGCCCAGCAGCGCCTCTACTTCTTGTTCAAATTGAAGAAAGCAAGTACCTCCCGTCATGACCACATTCTACAGAGGGACCATCGAGAGTATTGTGTCCAGCTTCCTCACTGTGTGTCGTTGAAGCCTCAGAGATCAGAACAGAAAGACCCTCCAGCGCATTGTTAATAGGGCTGGGTATTTTGGCCAAAGTCCTGAATCGATTCGATTTTGATTCATACAGTTCTAAATCGATTCATTTCGATTCGATCTGTTTTTACAATAATGGAACTGGTTCAACTGTGTTTTAAAATCATCATGTATTTAATTTTTTCCTGTCATATTAAACACAAAGTGCAAACTTGTAAATCAGACAGTTTAAACTTGAAATGTGAACAAAACTGTTCACAAAACTGTATACAAGTGCAAACTTGTTGGTGAAAAGTGAAGCCTTACTCGAGCAAGCAGACGTGACACAGCAGACATGCACAAGCTGCATTATCTTCTCTGCACAAACCATATTTGCAGCGCTGTCTGTAATAACTACAGGGTGTTTGCTGGGCAGCCCCCATTTGTTAATATTGTCAGTCAAACTATTGGCTATATATCCAGCTGTCTGGCCTGAAGTAATCTTGATGGCCTTAAGCACGGGATGCGAAACGCCACTCATTATCAATGTAGTGGGAAGTCACCTTAATGTCACACATCCAGCACATAGCTGTTTTAAATCCAAAATGGTTCCAGACGTCAGACTTCAGTTGGGACAGCTTGTTGAGCGGCGTGTTATTTGGGTCGGCATTTGCACACGCCTGATTATTTGAATGTGAACGTCACGCGCATCACTATAAAACTAATCAATCTCATTCCCTAAACATCGATTTTGCTAAAATGTAAAAGAATCGATCCAAAATTGATTAAGTCGATTTTTGTTACCCAGCCCTAATTGTTAACACAGCTAGGAGGATCATTGGAGCACCACTCCCTTCCCTGCAGGACATTTACACCACCCGCCTCACCCGCAAAGCACTAATGATTGTCAAGGACACAATCCAACCTGCAAACGAACTGTTCAGCCTCCTGCCCTCTGGAAAGAGGTACAGGAGCCTCTGCTGCTGCACCACCACACTTGCAAGTAGCTTCATCCACCAAGCAGTCAGGATGCTGAATGCTCTTCTCACTCTCCCATCACTGACAGCGCCCCCACCCACTAGCACACCAGGAACCTAGGATTTTTTTTTTTTCTGTATATGTTCTATATTTCAGTCTCGCACTTTAATGTCTGTTTGTGGTATGTCTGTATATATATATATATATATATATATATATATATATATATATATATATATATTGTCTATGTCTTAAGTATGTCCATGTCTGTATGTTAAAGTATTCCGTAAACGTTTAAAAAAAAATCCACTGGACTTGGTTTCCAAGATTTGAAGACGTTTCGCTTCCCCTCCAGGAAGCTTTCTCAAATTAAATGTGATCACATTTAAATTGAGAAACTGGAATAATTATTATTATTATCATAAAAAAAAGATAGATAGATATAATTCTCAGAAGTTATAAAGAATTTGGGATAAATGGTAGAGAACTTAATTTCACAATAGAGTCAAGAATTAAAATGCATGATATCTACTAATTAGAAGTAAAATTAAAATTTTGCTTTACTAAAGAGAAAATGGTAAATCAATTTCTGAAATTATAAACTGACTGAACTAAGCATTTTTACACAATAATGGGATTATCAGAAACACAAGTAGAACAACTTCAATCTAGTTCAGGGGGAATTGTTCTGACCTGAAGGGGATCCTGTTCCACTCTTTCTCTCTTGACCGATGGGGAATCTCACTAGACAACACTTGGAATCAGCCTGGGACTCGACCCGCAGATGAGAGGATTCTGTTAGTCTCCCGAAAGCTGCAGGTGTTTTGAGCCTTGTGGGTCTTGGTGATAGATTCTCAGCTTAAAAAGATGAAGAACTTGCAGGTCTTAGTTTGCAGTCTTTCATGTAAATTTGGAAAATATATATATATTTTTTTGAGAACTTTGCACTAAAAGTGTCATGATCGGTTTAGAGATAAACCCACATGCAGAACACCACTGAGACTTGGTAAAAGGTTTAACAGTGTTTATTAAAGTTTCACACAAACAGGACAAGATTCAGGTTCTGGTCCGGGCAGGATTCTCTGGCGTCTGCAGAGACGGATAGTTGGTTAGCTGGGTATGCAGATAAGTTCAATGGGTTTTCAGATATTTCAGTGGATACCTTGAAGAGGTCCAGGTTTGCTCTGAGAGAGGGAACCGGTTGGGTCCAGAGACTGTTGGTTCAGCAGAGTGCTTAGGCAGCAGCAGCGTCTTACTTCTGACTTCCAGTGAACAGACCTTGGTTGAAGTGATTAGCTCTATCCCAAGAGCAGCAGGTGGATTCCAGAATGTAGTCTTCAGGTTTGGCTCTCTAGGGCAGACAGGCAGATTCAGGTTAAGCTCATCCAGAAATTCTCTCGAGAGACTGGTTTCCTAGGAGCGAGAAGACAGAGGCAATTAAAAGAAAGGTTTCTCTAGGAAGATAACTATTTAGTAAATTTAGAGGCTCAGGTTCGCTAACCAAACTTGGCTAACACTGCGGCGTCGAAGCAAGGTCTGGCAGCTGCTTATAAGGCCGGCCTCCTGATGAGCTGATGAGCGTCAGCTGTGCTGGAGGGCTCCAGCCCAGGAGGATCCACAGCGCACTCTGCTGGAGAAGGTGGAGAATCTCCAGATCCCAACAAAAAGTCAAGTGGATCTAGGAAAGTAGTCCACTGTGAAATGGATTATTAGACTGTGCTTTTTCTTGATTAAATCAGTGTAACACTGTTCTATTCTTTATGCTGAGATGTAGGAAAAGGAAGGAAGAGTGAAAAGAAGCTGTATTCTTCTATAGGTTAGATAAGGGAGAAACATAAACATGTCATTATTCTCACAGTCCTGTTTCTTGATGAACAGAAGACAGTGGTCTGAAATGTTTATCTGATTGAATTGTTGACCCTGATGTACTCATTGTTCGTGTGTGCGGAGTCTCCTTATAAGCAGGGAAGGGAGGCTATCATAGCAGAACCACACTCAGAGCTGTATTCAGCTGTTTTGCGTCGTTCTCCTCTGCAGAGTAAAATAAAACCTTTTCTTCCTGGCATATCCGCTCTCAGTGCTCATTTTTACTCCATACCACTCAAAGGTTCTGGCAGTTCTTGAAGGATCCTTCTTCCTCTTTCTGATGAAAGACCACAACTGTTCCTACAGTCATATGATGGGTAAAGAGCCAACCAGATCTTATTATTTAGATTAAATAAGCATCTATTTTCAGTTTCATGTGTGTTAGATATTGCAACACAAGGCAACATGTAAAATCACCATAAAGCAAAAACATTTTCACACACAGACAGTAGAAACCATTATGCTTATGTAGCTTATGTTGTTGTTTTATTTTTCGGAAGGCAGCTTTAAAACCGAAACTTTCACAGTCATTTCACACAATAATACATTTAAAGTGTTTATTTACAGTGAGTGTGATTATTATGGCTGATGTCGAAAAAAGTCATTTTAGTTAGAAATTTGTAAGATGCAAATGAATAAATATTTCAAGTATTTATTTACATCAAGTTTAATTTTTTTTGTTTACAGCCAAAGAAATTCTGTCACAATATGTGTAATTACTAAAATGGCTGTAAGGCTGCATCTCTGAAATTATTGTGGGAGAATACAAGCAAAAAAGTAACTACAAATCTTATTTAAAAATGTTCTCTGATGTTTTATGCAGAATTAAAACAGATTCCTTCAAAATCAAAATAAAACTTTCAGAAACAGGAATTATAATGAGTTAAAATGCAATGCAAAAGTCCATAGAAAACATATTTGGACATTTAGAAAAGCCTGGAGTACTGCAGAGAAGACCATATTTAATGACTGTAAGAAGCTGAAGCTGGTTGGAAAACAAAAAAACAAAAGAAAAACGAAAGTAACGGTTTTACAGTAGGACTAGATCTTACAAATATAATAAATGAAATTGTTTATACTTTCAGTGGGACATTAGATATTGTCATGCAGTTGCTGTTTTTGTCTCAAAAGATCAAATCTACAGTCAATGGACCTTAGGCTGCAGCTAAATTGGTAAAGTTAGTTGAATAAACAGTAAAATTAAAAGAAAAAAGAAACAGAGAAATCAATAACGTTAAAGTTGCACATTTATCATCTATTTTAAACAGCTTAACAAGTTTAAAAATAATGTTTTTAAAAAACATAAGCATGTATTATGATAAATATCTTCATATACATAGTTTGAACCTTTTAATATCACTTTTTTCTTCCCTGTCAACATTAAATTACTTTTCCTCTTTCAGGTCAGTACATCATCAAAAAGTTTTTGATTTTTACTGATCAAAAGCATCAAACAAAGCAGATTGGTTTTGGTTTTATTTTTCAGTTGGGTCATCATGAAGAAAAACAGATCCTAGCCCTATTTTATTTTACTACCTAAAAAAATATTTTCATTTACCACTTGCAATGCACTCACGAGTATGCGTACCCTCTTTTAGGAATCACTGTATAGTCTATGAGTATAATCTCAATAAATTGACTTGAAGTGGTTGATCTTAATATATACTTGTATTTTTCTCTTAAAATGGGGCTGAAATAGCAAAATTTCCAAAGTATTCAAAGAATTTGGGTGTTTAACGAACAGATATGATTTTGAAAACAAACACAGACCTTAAATGAGAAAAGTTTAGTCTGATATAACACCTCACAGTTAGAAAAAAGACAATGTCCTTCAAATCAGTGTTTCTAAATATGTGGTTTTATGTGTACTTATATGTAAAGTGGTGGATCTTCAGATGCTCTATGTCTGTTGGTGATAATGATGTAAAAATATAAAGAAGATGATCAGGGGGAGCAATAGGATGATGTTGATCTCTTTGCTCCTCGGTATTCAAGCTCCTCCTCATCTGTTCAGAAAACACCAACATGTATTAATCAGCACTCAAACAAATACTGTTAATATTAACAATATTAGTCTTATATGAGCTAAGGCATAGCTTTCATTAAAACTATTCAAGTTCTAATTAAAGAGGATAATGAAAAGATCTGGTCAATTTTTATCAACAATAAATCATCACAACTGAGGGGATGTTCAAGGGAAAGCACTCTAGAATAAAATGCCTATTTCTTTTTTAAATTGGTGTTCAGGCATGTTTCGTGGTGAGTGACCTTGCATAAACTTTTTACTGTACATGTTGAAATTTGGCGCTTCGCTCTATAATTTCTCTGCAATGTGTATTATCTCAAAGCAAAGTAAACCCTTAGTTAAAATATGATTCCTAGGTAATGTTCTTCTACTGTAATAAAAAATGGCAAACATGAGGATGAAAATAAAACAGGCTAACTGGATGAAGGATTATATCTATATTCATATCTATATCTATAGTCATTGTTAAAATTTAATTAAAAAGGGGTTGAATTCAGCATGATCAGGACAAAAAGGTGGGCCAAACAGTAAGCCTTGGGGTACTCCATGATTCTGATTTCAGATATTTACATGTAACAGTCAATAATTATGAGTTATAAGTCATTAAAATAAGTTTAGTCACCAAGTTTTCCTTTTGTTTGGGGATTTTTCAGCTTTAAAATGAATGAACTAAAACAGAGGAATAAACATTTTACCATTCTCCCGGAGCTTCTTTTTCTTTTTACATATGACACAGCAGCACACAATGATGATGATCAACACTAGAAGAAAACCTTAAAAAGATCAGAGAAAAAAAAAAATTGAGGTGCAGAAATAAAAAGCCTTTTAAGTTGACTTCTATCTTTTTTTTTTTTTCTTTAGTAAGTTTCAGTGTAATAGCAAACATACTGTACCTCCTCCACCAGCAATAAAAATCCAGGTGCTGATTCCAAATAACTCATCTGGAATGCCTGGAAGAACTAATAAAAAATAGAACTCAGAAAAATAACTTTAAAACAAAGAATAATCAACCCAAACTTTTATTTTCTAATGATATGATGGCCGTAATAACTAGTATAGATACTTACTATTGTAAACACAGTTATGACTCAAAGAGAAACTCTTTTCAGAGCTGCCATCATTATAAACTTCACAGGAGAAGTTCATGTTTTTACTTTCTGAAATTGTTCTTATCAATGAGATTTTTATTTCATTGTGGATCACTTTCCCATTCTGGAACCACTTGTACTGTGCATCATCAGCCTGCTGTGGGGGGAAATATAAAAAGCTGTTAAAAAAGCATATATAGAGGAAAATATTTCAGCATAATTTGATTTTGGAAATATGAGAAAATAGGAACCAAATAACCTTGAAGAAAGAAAAAAACGGTTTTAAAATGACATAAAAAAAACATACATGAAAACTCACTTTGTATTGATAATCATTATTAAACATTATTCTAAAAGGATAATTACACTACAGAGCCTTCCTGACAATTTTAGGCCTGCTTCGGGTTTATGAAACCAGCTAAAGTTTCTAAGGGGACCTTTGAAGGCCCCAAAGTGTCATGATTTATTGCAAAGTTACTGTTTTTTTTACGTTCAGCTCTGCTCCTGGCAGCATTGTCCCTAATTCTTCCCACCTATACAGCTCCATCGTTTCTCATCAGTACTCATGCTTACCCTGCCTATTTATCTCAAACCAGTTACTGATGCTAAATTATTTGAAAGCCTCACAATAAATAGATGTCAAGCTTTGCTTCCACGGCTGATTGTCTGATCATAACCTTTCTTTTGCCTCAATTGTCCACGTGTTTGCCTTTCCCTCATCAGACTACTCTGAGCTTATCTCTTGTTATCTCTTGCCCTTTCTGCCTAAAAGCGAGTTTTGTTTTTACCAAATTTGTTAATTTTTTTGTGTCTGGTTGAATATTGGTTCCTCAGTCTAGAACGTTACACAAAGCAGCCTTTCTTTAAGAAAAAAACATGTTCTCACCTGAGCAGCATTGCAGGTAAAGATGACCTCTGAGCTCTTACAAGTTGTATTTATTTCAGGCTTCCTCACAGGTTCTAAGTGGGTTTGATTAGATGAGAAACATTAGAAAAATTACTGTAGAACTAACTGAGCTGCTGGCTCTCTTTAGTAACAGGATGGCACATATACTTAAATCCAATTTATTGAATAATCAAAATTTTTTTAAATAGTTTTTACTGTTTTAACTATTATTGTAACACTTACCAAAGCACATATTCACCACAGGATCACTTCTTTCAGAGCTTATCTTGTTGTAAACTTCACAGGAAAACTGGACTTTTTTCATTTCCACAGTCTTTCTTTTTAGGTTGATTCCTGTTTCGTTAATCTGATTCCCATTCTGGAACCATTTGTATTGTGCATCATCTGGTTTCTAATGAAAATGATAAAATATTACCAAGTTTAAGTAGAGGCAGGATCCAAATAGATTGCTTTTACCTTACAAACATGAAATGCAATAAAGGCTAAAAGTATTTGTACCCCTCATCAGACAAATATTTATTCAGACAAAGAAAATTTGTAAATTAAAAAAAAATCTAATTTCAACAGATGATTTTGTTAAAAAACATAAATGCTTATCTAAACCAATACGGCCAATGTGGAGCTATAACTGCCTATTATATAAAACCATCATTTAACTGTGATTACTTACATTTTTGGGATAGTTTAGATAAATAAAAACACAAACCCAGAATCTGATAGCTGTTATTCCAGTAGGATCAATGAAGTACTAAAAAAGAACCTATTTGACTACCCGAAATAAGTTGTTTTAAAAAAGGAATACAAAACCCAGAACTGAAGGCATTTTAATAACAGACGATAAATTAACTCACATATATCAGAAAGGGGAACCAGAGTAAAGGTAATTATCCACAAAGAGAAAAAAAAAAAAACATAAAACAGCAGTGACCCTTCCTTGGAGCAGCCAGCCTACTGACACTAGCAAATCAATGACTCTGAAGGGCCCAGAAAGGCACTGGAAGCTCTTCATGTTAGGAATCCAGTTGTGTGGGTCATGTTTTGTGTTTTTCTCTCCCTCCACCACCAGGTGGTGTCCTGTCCTCGTTGATCCTCCCAGACACCTGCGGCTGGTTGGCTCATCACTAAGGACTATTTGAGCGATGGACTGTCACTACCTCGACGCCAGAGTGTTTGCCAGTTTTGGGTACTCTAGCCAAGCTTAGATTAGCTGAGTCTGAGTCTTTGTTTCACTGAGCCTAACGTAGTTGTTTTTATCTTTGCCTTTCGGCAGGAAGCCATCCTGCAAGCTGGATGTTTGGCCTTCTTCCCCTGGAGGGATTGTTTGAGTCTCACACTGAGCAGGGGATTAACCTCCACACGTTCCGTTCAAGTTCTCCCAGAATTCCAAGTGACAGTCTGCTCCATTGATCCTCAGGATCCAACCAACTCAAAATCTGTCCGCCCTCCAATGAGCCCCTTACCTCTGGATAAACCCACATCGACTGGATTCTGGGAATAAAGTTTTCTCCGCTAACGTTGGTCCTGTTTTTCTCTGTTTGTCCAAGCCATCGTTCAAAGTTCCCACTGACCTTGAACTAACCTCTGATATTCCTTTCACTTCCAGTTCTGGTTCACCAGTACACTGAGTTTCCTGAATCCAACCCCCATTGATCTCCTCAATAAACCTGTTAAACTTTTACCCTGGTTCTCTGAGTTGTTTACTGCATGTGGGTCAGATCTCTTAGGAACATCATGACACTTCATGCTTCTAAATTAATTCTCAATAGCATTTGAGACCAAAATCACAACTAAAATAATGCAATAAAGAAACCTAAAAGCCCATCCAAAATTTGCCAAAACACATATTGATGATTCCCAAGAAAAGGAGCAACAGTCTAATATTGGGTGGTAGAGCAGTTGTCCTGAGCTGCTTAAGGGATGTATCAATAGTCAATATAAGTGATATAAACATAAATTATCCTCTAGAAAATCCTGCAGAACAATGCTGGGCTATTCTTTCATGAGCTTAGGTTTGGGTTTTGCACATCAACAACGATCTAAATCACACTAATCCACCTCTGCATGGCTCAAAAAAGAGGTTTTAGAGTGGTCTAGTCAAAGTCTGGACTAAAGCCCAGTCAATACTGTAGGATGACATTCAACAACCAGTTTATACACATCTAATATGTCCAAATGAAACAAATTCTGCAAAAGTAAAAAAAAGATTAATATGTTAAAGATCGAAATAATCAGCTATTTGGGTGCAATTAGTTTCCCTTTAAAGGGCCAGGTGATTGCAATAACTTTTTTCCCTTCATAAATAAAATCCTTTCTTGGAATCTACTTCTTCTATTTGTTTGCTAAGGATGAAAAATAATAATAAAAATCAAAGCTCATATTAAAACAGCAATAGAAAAAAACTATGACGGGGTAAATACTTGTTCACGTTTTTGCATAAAAAAAAAAAAAAAAAGAGTAAAATTTTCCATAAATATAATTTGAGACTTTGTAAAATTTTTAGAAACTCTCTAACATCTCTTAACCTATGTGAGGTCGCCCCTTAGCGATCAGTTTTGTTCTGTAATGCTTAAAAAATATGATTGATTAATTAATTAAAAATGAAATTGAAAAAATAATTAAATGTGAGCTCACCTGTATGTTTTGAGGAATGCAGGTAAAGGTGACATCTGAGTCCTTGCAGGTCACATTTATTGAAGGCTTCTTCACACGGTCTGAGTTGGTTGGATTAAATTAAAAAGATTATGTGCTAAAGCAAGTCATATCGTGATAAACAGCATAGAGAGTTGCTAAGGCATCAGTCGTTTACAGGAATCACAGCTTTAGGAACTCATTAGAGCTTTACATTGTTCAGAGATCATTAAAAATAAAAGTCAGAGATTATCATTGACTGAATAAGTGACCAGTTTATACCCACCCAGCACGCATAACTTGATGCTCTTTTTGGCCTGTATTTTTCCTCTTTGATCATGAACCTCAGTGGTATAAACTCCTGAATCATTCTTCTTCAGATTTATCAGTTTAAGGGACCCATCTGCATTAATATCACCTTTTTCCACAAGAATAAGGGCTTTGTTTCTTCTATGAATTATTAATGTTTCTTCAAACTTCCACCTCAGAGTATCACCAGATTTTACTGTGTAATCCACAGGAACAATGATGTCTTCGCCTGTTGCAGCATACTGGTCACAACCTTAAAAAAAAAAAAAAAAACTTTTTAAAACTTCATTAGATAAAACGCATAAATACAGTAACTTTATGTGACACAAGCAGAGTTAACAAATTTCTATCAATGTGACCAATTATGGAGAATAAAAAAAAAATAAAATCAAGAAACCTTTAATGGTATAGTGGAGGATACTCTTGCATGCATTTAAACCTGGGTACAGGTTTGTGCATGTGTACTTTTTTTAAGTGGAGAGGGTAGGTCTTTTCAAAAATATGTGAAAATCCTTCAATATACCTTTAAGATGCAGAAAAAAAAAAAACTCTAATGACTTTAATATCTTTATGAATTATTGTCAGATTCAACTTGAACTTTCAGTCCTCTTTAATTTAAACCAGACATCATTATTAGGAAGTCTACTTGTTTAAATTGTATTGACATTTTCTTCACAACATTTACTTTAAGAAAAGCGAAGCAGGACCAGTACCTTTTCTTTCATGCAAAACATTCAGACATGGCTAAAATCTTGTAAAGCTTTAACAGTCGTCTGTCAAAATCTAAAGGAACCAAAATCTGTTTGATTCAGCTACTAACAAAAACTATATGGCTGCATCATGCTCTGGGGTTCACTGTGTTTTAATGGGCCTTGGATTTCTGTCAAGATGAAAAATACAATCTGTTCTAAACACCAGTAATTACTGACCTTAAACATTTAGCTTTCAGCTAGAAAGATGCTGAAGATAAGAGACATCTTGAGATCATCATAAGAACTTCTTCAGCAGAGGAAATGTTCAAATTCTTCGGGCCAGAGTTCAAAACTACATATTTGTGGTTAACTGAATGCGGGTGTAGACAAGAGAAGTCATCACAATCTGAGAGATCTGAGGAACTTCTACGAATCATATCAACTTTAGGGTATGCAGCAAAGTTATTTCACTTTGAATTCCTATTTTCCTGTTAACTGATCAATGCAATTCTATGCAACATTTTGTGCACAAGCATTGAAATAAATGTCGGAAAGAGATCAAATAAATCCAGATAATCGAATGTATTTATACCTTAAATACCTGGAAATGGAACAGCAGTGCATGGAGAGAAATATGAATAAGAATCTGTTATATTTGAATTTAACTTACAACTAAAAGATATGTACAAAACCAACAAAATTAAGACACTGAAAATAAATATATATAATGGAGACTCTTGACCTCAAACATCTGTTTGTGGTGCAACAATTTCCCCAAACAGTACATCCGCTCTCAAGAAATACGTTATTGAAAACGGCATTATTTTACCATTTAATTAAAGGGTTTAAATCTAATTTACTGAGCGATATAACTGGCCGTTTTTAATTATTTTCTATCTAAAATGTTATCCAAGCAATTAAACAATCCAACCATGATTTAGAATGGTTTACTGAAGTCAAATGGAAAACATGAACACCTACACAACTGCGTTTTACACTCAAAATGGAAAAAGAAAAGTGCAACTGAGCAAAGACCTGCAGCTGAAAACAGAAGGTCAGAGAAATAAAGTCAAACTTAACAGATCTGCTCTTTTAAGCTCCCCTAGAATCCATTAGAATGAGGTATTTCATACCTTGGGTTGCGACGGCGAAGCAGCAGAGCAGAAACACAGAGAATGGAGCCATCTTCTTCACTGTCTCCATCACTTTGAGATAACTTTCCAACATCAAGGTTATTTCCTGTTTTGACTCGTATGTGGGCTGCCTTTCTGTCACTGCACACTTCCTCTGTTTTTTTACCTTTAAGGAGAGCATAGTCACAATAGTTACATAGTTACATAATCACAATAGTTACTGCAAGAACCTTAAGGCATTAAGAAGAACTGTTAAGACCTTAAAGTGATGCGATTCTTTACATTCTATCATATGGAGTTAAAGTGTCTCTTGGCACAAAGGTTAACATATAAACAGCATTTTTAATTACTACCTCTCATAGTTGAGATAAAATTAAATTCTAATATTTCTATAAAGATTCTGCAAAGTACGCACGGATAGAACATGAACGTTATTTAGATTAAAAAACAACTTTACTCACCTTATATCTCAATCAACCGTAGTTCTTGCAGACGTGAAGCTCAATAAACCCCTAACTTGATAAAACTGTGCAAAGAGGTTGGTTTCTGACTCTTGACGCTCTGTCCCACCGTCAGCAAGATGGGGGATGTTTGCAGCCTTGCAAGCAGTAACTACAATCGATCCGCTTGTGGTTTCACAGCTCAAACCAGACCAACAGCTGTATTTTATCAGATTCCTTTTAAAAATACAGAGCACTGAAAAGTATTCATCTCATTATATTTAGATATAAACCAACATAATGATATTAAATATTATCAAATGTAGGGAAGGTGATGCATGATTTTAACCTTGTTACTAGTATTTAGCCCTATTTACTCTAAATAAACCACAACCCAACTGTTACCTTTAAGAGTGAAGTAAGATACAGTTGATCTGGGATTGTTAACATAAGGCAACCAACAGCAGGAGTGGTTGATTCATTTATTCATCGCTAGATAGTAATTATTAGTTTTTGTATTCTTTGTTTTCCTGCATGCACATATACGTTTTTTCTCCTTTACTTTTAGTGCATTCTTTTTATTTCTTTGTCTTTGTTTTTGTTTCCCCCTCCACTGCAGTTAGTTTTTATTCTCTTTTTTAGTTTCACATGTCTTTCCTAGTCTTCTCCTTGTGGTTTTTGATGATGTGTTTCCTGGTTTACCTGGTTTTTGTTTGATCATTACCCAATAAAAGGTTACCTCTTAGTTTCTCTTTGCTTCTTCTGTATTTTAAACCATGGCTTTTGATTTAGATCATGGAGAATAACACCATATAGTGTAATTTCACCAAAAATATATTAAAGTTCTCCAACAAACAAGTCCTATATCTATCGAATTAAGTAACAATTAGTTCAGGATTATTCCAAATTCATCCAGTTAATCCCATTCATTTTGGTATTTATTCAGATCCAATTATATGCAGTCCAGCACATAAAAATGACCCATATTTTGAAAACATTATGTCACCAAGATTACTTAAATTTGATATCTGAGCTTCAAATGTGACCTTATCATAATTTTTCCAGAGTTTTCTGAAAGTTCACTTGTGATTGGCTGTTGAATTCCTAATAATGGCTTATGTCCTGGAAACTTCTGTTGCAAAAAAGGCTGCTCTAATTTGTCCAAGGCTGCTCTAATTTGTTTGTTTATGATTCATTCATAGATGTATTTACTGGTATGCTTTACTTCATTGCCCTGCAACAGAACCAAAGTCTGGTATACTGTAGTGGAGGATGTTTTTTCTTCAGGGTGGATCATCTAAATAAGTGGTCCTCCTAATTGTCAATCATTCTGGTCATATGTTTACATAAGGCCGTCCTACGTGCTCGTCCCCATTTGCTCTTATCGGTGTTGCACCTGACATAGTGGAAAAATTGCAAATCTTCTTTTAATAAAGTAAGCTTGTCTGAGCGACGCAAACAGAGCGTGCACGAGGAGAAATGGGTTCTTGCATGCTCTCGCATGAGTTAAATAGGGGATCCCTATCAGAAGCGTGTGCATTTTCTTTTTTAAGTGGAGAGGGCTGGTCTTTTCAAAAATTTGCCAAAATCCTTCACTATACCTTAAAGATTAAGGTTGAACTGATGTTTGGAAAAACTCCGTTCAATTCATGGTTCCATCAAATGCAGCGAATAGTGTGGTTTCTGAAACAGGAAGAAAGCTCTAGACCATTACTCCACAGTCTTCATGTTTGACTCTTATGATGTTAACATCCTAAATTACTGAGTCAGTTTTACACCAAAAGACCAAGTATCCCCCCCCCCCTTCAAAAGTGTACAGCTTTGTCTTTATCAGCCCACAGAACTGTCTCCCAAAAGCTTTGGAGAATATAAAGATTTTTCTTTTTTTTTTTTTCCAAATATAAGATGACTCTTTATGTCTTATTTGAGTCAGTAGCAGTTCTAGCCTTGGAATTATACCTTGGATGCCATTTCTGCTCAGTTTTTTCAAATTTTCTATTTAAAAAAGCAAAGTCAGAGCCTTGTGATCATAACGGCTATTTAAATTCCGTTAACAAATAACTGTAAATACAGAAAACATTCAATCAAGGAAGAAGGTGCCCCATTTCCTGAAAGATAATTCTAAGAACACTGAATCATTGCTATTAGTTTGAATGCTTAGCAGCATAAGCTATACAAAAAACACATCTGATATGAGAGTCGGGTGAAATAAATGTGTTTTTTTTTAATCTGCTGATTTTAAACATCGAGGTTCAGATGGTTATACATCATTTTAGCTTTAAGAAAAGGGTTTGACTTTTTCTGATTTTTGTTTAATGGAAAGTTCTGATAAAAGCATAAAACCAAAATCCTGTAGAACATCCTGTTTATGATGATCAATATGGGATCAGTGCTAAGCTGACTAATTGTAAAACATGGTTTTATGTTAAGAGTGACAATTGTTTTTAAGGGAAACATTTGATGTTTTTTAAGAGGAACTGTAAATAACATTTAGCTTTAAATGCAATCTTGCACAAAAGGCTCTGATAATGCTTTTTTTTTTATTCAATACATTTTAATTTTGCTCCAACAGAAAACATTGAGAATATACTAAAAAATATATTGATTTCTTCTACATGAATGCCATTTTTTAAAAGAAGTTTACTGTTTATTATAATTTAAACATTCTTTATTTAAAACATCAAAACCGTTTGAGCCTTTTCCCTCAGGGTGGCGCTGTTACAGCACCTGAGAATATGGTTACACTATTCAAAAACTAACTTATGTTCTTCAGTTTAGAATAAAGTGTTTGCTCTATTGTGATAAAGGTATGTGGCAGCTTGAAACAAAAATGCACTACTGGCATTTGTGAGAGATCTGCTGCTTCCGTTTCACTCCAAGGCCTGTTTCATTGTGGTGAAAAGGTGTGAAAGCACTTTTTTCAGTTTCTTCATCTGAATTGGATGCCTTATTGTAAAGACTTCAACATATAAGTCTTTTAATAGCCACGGAAATTGCTGTGCTTTCCATCCCCATAGAGCCGTGTTTTGCAGAAGCGGTGCATTTCTTTTATTTCCTCTGATTACTTTGCAGGTTTTATGCAAAATACTTTTTAGCAACAATGTAAACCTACTTCCCTCAACAGCTTTATTATCTAGAAGCCTAAACGCCTGTTCATATCTATATAAAATTATATACGTTATAAAAGTAAAAAAGGTTTAGGATTTCCTTCCTTTTACATCAGAATATTATCAAACTGTGGCAATGAAAGATTTACTTATAAACGTATAATTTCTTTCCACTTTACAATTAGATTTCTTTAAGTTGGGCTGTGATATAAAACCTACATGAAATGCTTGGCTGCCATGTGACATGATGTCAAACTTGAGGGGAATAAATACTTTAGAAAACAACTCTATTTCAGAATAAGAGCCACACACTACATTAATAACAAGCTCTAGTGGATGACAATCGAAATGAAACCTTCGAGTTGGATATCGCTGCATAAGCACTTCAGTGACCCTATCTATGATGCACAGACAATAAGGTAAAGTGTACAGTACTGTCGATTGTAGCTTAGTAAAAGGAACAAGCAGGAAGTCGATGAGAAACAAACCAAATTTGTGGTGGGCTTGCACATGGCTGACATGTCAAATGAGTTCCTGTGGCCACAGATGACCCATTTCTACTAAATGGGCCTTTATAAATAGATCAGATATTTTTTCCACTGCTCCAGTCCAACTTGTCCAAACATAAGTCAAAAACACCCCACAGATGATTTCGACACTATCATCCAATCATTCTGCTCTGTATTGCCATTAACAGCCAATCAGAACCCTTTAAAAGCAATGAATCAAATAACTGTGCTCTGAATAACAGCAATAAATTAGACTTGATCCGTATTACTTCAAAGCACATTGTTCTCTGTCTTAAATCAGCTGTAATGAACAGAAATGCCTTTCATCCAAAGAAAAATGTCATCAAATGCTTTCTTGCAGGCACCAGCAGTTAGCTTAATAATGAATAAATTAACCCAAATGTTTTATTTGAGTGTATAAAAGTTTACTTTAAAATGAAAGTCCGGATGATGGAAAAAAAACGGTGTATAATATTGGCTTAACTGCAGTTGCAAAGGACTTTGCTAATTGTTTATCTTGATTTCTCGTGATGGACTGACACCCATCCAGGATGGGCCTTGGAGACAAGTACCAGCCCCCTCTAACAATGATAGGATAAACAAGAACAGACCCTTGATGTACAATCTCATAGCTGCTACTTTGGTTGCATATTCAGAGGATTCAGGGGTTAGGGTCAAAGCAAAAAATGTCCAAGGTAAAAGTACAACATCCTCAAAGACAGTGATGCTTTTGGACACTTATCTATAGGAAAAAGGTTAGGGTTTGGCCTCTTTATGTAAGGTTCTCCATCTTCATGCTTGTATTTGCAAAACTGCAAAGGACTTTTCAAATCCTGTATTTGGTAGACTCTATTTTTTAATATGTGCCAGTTCGGATTTCCAACAATATATTTGGCCACTTTGATAGACTTTCACTGTTTTCAACGAATAAGATCTCGGTGACAGAGAAAGTTTAAGAAGAGAGGAGTATGTGGGCATAGTGTCCTGCTGAGTGTTTCGGGGACAAAACTAATTCAAAACATTGCAATGTCTTGTCTCTCCCTTATCATACCTCCAAAGCAAGGGCGTAGGTTTGATTTGAACTTTGGTAGGGACACTATTGGTCTGGTGTCATAGGTGCTATGCAATATGCATGCCCTTTTTTATGCTCGATGTGAGCATCCGTACTGATAAGAGGAATTCATTGTTAAAAGAGAAAAGCAACATTTTGCTCCATTAATAAAAATGTTATAAGTTCTACACTCATTAGATGCTGATTATCAATGTTTGAAGTATCACCGGCTCTGATGAATGTGGAATTAGGACTGTTTTCCACTTTGAAAATGGTTTCATTTGAACGACTAAGAGAGAAGGTAAATACAGTATTTTCTTTTGAAGATATTGTTCAGAGTTAAACCCCACTCTAATATTTGTACCTACTATTCTCTCTCTGTATCAAGCAAAATAATACATTCATTAAAATATTAACTTCACTATAAAAGTTGAACATCTGGGCTGTAGTTACTCTGTGTAGCC